AACGCTAATCGGATCACTGAAAAATTATCAGTTGCGCAAAAAAATATATTCTGATTATATAACGATGCATTTTTACTTTTCATTTTGTTCGATTTGTTAGTTTGTTATTAAATGAATCATAATGTTATGGTTAATTCAGTTACATAGAAAGTTATTAATTTTAGTAATTTAGAACTACGTATTTACAATGAAACTCGCGGTCAAATTTTATTTTCCATAACATTCAACCATACCAATTTCATTGAACAGAAGCAATTGCATCCAAAGCGCGCACAACTACTTCGCAATTTCACTCAGAAATTGGGGATTTTGTGTCATGTGATCCGTGCTGAAGTAAAATAAGTTCGTAACTGCCAGAGAAAAGCTCAACCGAACTATCAACACCTTGTTGTCGTCCAATAAATCCCTTGGTGTTCTAAGAGAAATCCTCTGGAATTCCGTAGCATCTAATCTCTTCGTAACGAACATTTGCGGTTCGCACACGTATACACCTACACATAGCGTTCTCTTGCGAAACAAAGTTGTGTGCAAATTGGATGTCCTCACATACCGAAACTATCGCGCGAAACGAGTGTTAAACTTTACTTTTTAGGACGAAGGAGAGGAAGAAGAGGTCAATGTGGCTGGGATATTTCTTGGCTCAGAACTTTTGTCTCAGCTCGCACCAGCGCCAAAGTGTCTTGGAAGTTTTAGGAGGACGCGCTGCTCGCGCTTGCGTTATAAATTTGATTTAGTTCGTCGCCAGCCAGAGGGATACTCGGGATTTATGAGTGTTTACCACGGATGCGGTTAATAGCTCATATGCTGCCGGCGCGAGATCGGCGTCCTTTTCTCTCTCCGATCGTTTCAAGTTATTTTTGCGCCAGTTTTTCACAAGTAATTGAGATGTTTAGCTTGAGTGATTTGTGAAATGATGAGTTTCTTGAAATTGTTGATTAAATAATTTAACATAGCTATAACAATGGTAATATACGTGCATTATTATGAATCACGATCTTCAATTGACAAACAGTCGCAACAACATAGCGGGTTTTAACATTGAGACTATAAGATAATGAATATACTGAGAATATATAAAAATAATGATTATAATAGAAACATTAATATAATCTAAATCTGAGAAGCACCTTTTGTGAAAAAAATTTAACACCGTTTTAAACATTTCTATGAAAAAATACATGATTTTACTTTTAGGTAAAAAAATATGTTGGTAAATATTTTTTAATCGTAAATTTGATTGAAAAAGATTTTATTTTTTGGAAAAGTTAATTCGAGGGTCGTTTGAAAAGTCCGTGCAAAGTCAGAAGGGTTGCATTACTGGCGCGTATCGCGGTTATTTTCAATTAATAGTATATTTTGAAAAAACACACACATCGAATCTCAGCTTGATCGGTTTATTACTTTGTGTTTAACATTCACTTGAATCAAAGAAATCGAGTGGTTGTAAAAAAAATGGACAAAAAAGAATTTCGTGTGTTGATTAAACATTACTTTATTAAAGGCAATACGCCTCAGGAGTCTAAACAGAAGCTTGATAAATATTACGTTGATTGTCTACCTTCTATTAGAATGGTTTATAAATGGTTTCAAAATTTTCGGAGTGACCATATGAACACAAAAGACGCTGAATCTTTTGGACGCCTTGTTAAGGTCACAATTTCAGAAATCATTAATAAAATCCATGAGATGGTGATGGCTGACAGAAGAGTGAAGGTACGTGAGATTTCCAGTGCTGTAGATATCTCGAGCGAATGAGTGCATAATATTTTACATCAACTTTTGGAAATGAAAAAGCTATGTAGGTGGGTGCCGCGATTGCTCACAATTGACTAAAAACGAGATTGTGTGAAGTGTTACAAGAACGGTTTGCAGCTGTTCCAGCGAAATCTGTAGGACTTTGAACGTCGTTTCGTCACTGTGAATGAAACGTGAATACATCACTACACTCCTGACACCAAAGAACAGTCTAAACAATGAGTTGCTTAGGGGGAAATTGTACCCAAAAAGGTAAAGACCATTCCTTCGACCGGAAAGGTTATGGCGACTGTCTTGGAATTCGCAAGGAATAATCTTCATCGACTATTTAGAAAAGGGTAAAACCATTATTTATCGTTATTGGATCGTTTGAAAACCGAGTTGCAAGAAAAACGTTCACGATTGGTCCACAAAAACATCCTCTTCTATCATGACAACGCACCAGCGCACACCTCGGCAGTTGTGGCCGCAAAACTGATGGAAATAGAGTTCCAACTCGTTTCACATTCCCTCTATTCTCCAGACTTGGCTACGTCAGACTATTACTCGTTCGCTAATATGAAAAAATGGCTGGCAAGGACAAGATTTTATTCAAACGAGGAGGTGATTGCAGGAACGAATGCCTAGTTTACAGACTTGGACAAATCCTATTATTTGGAAGGGATCAACAAATGAGAACAACGTTGGGTAAAGTGTATAAGCCTAAAAGGAGACTATATTGAAAAATAAAAAATATTTATTAAAACAAAATCAAGTAGTTTTCATTTTTGTACGGACTTTTCAAACGACCTTTGTATTTATATGAAACTATCGAAAAACATTTTACATTTGTAGAAAAAACTTTCGTATTTCACATAACAAAAGTTATTATACGCTTTCCATCAATATTTGCAGATCATAAACAAAAGGATCATTAATAGAGCAAATTCAAACATTAATTTAAACGTTACAATTGCCGAAAAGGAAACAAAGTATACTCTAAAACACAAGTACGTACAAACAGCGAACAAAATTTTTATCGCACCGTTAGCCTGCTCGTATTATTTTTACGAGATCCTGGGAAATTTCCAACAAGGGGAAAGATAAAGAGGAGCGTGGAAAGAAAGAAAAAAGGCCAGAAACCACGAGAAATGTAAAAAAAGAATGCGTACCGAGTAAGAATCGAGAGGCAGCGATTAAAGAACAAAGAATCGAGCAAAAATAACAGGGAAAGATATAAAGAAAACATAGTATAAAGTGTAAACAGTTCGTGCGATCATTTAATTTTATCAGGTATCTCTTATACGACATTGTCACTCATTAAGACAAATTCTATACGAATTTATAGTCTAGGATGAATTATTTCTACTAAGTATGAGGCATAATTATTTTTTATTTTTATAGAAATACATTTTCGATCTTCATCTCTATTTAACATAAAATCTCAGATTATCTAGTTATTCTTGTTAAAAAGTATAAATATACTTTCTTTTTAATTTTTACAATAAACTGAAATGCGACCGTCATTAAGGATCCCTGTAGCGGATTGACAGGGCAAGTAAACCTGCTGGCAGCAACCGAGAATGAAGGAAGTCAGTCTAAAATTGACAGAGATTGACTCGGAAAAATTATAGAAGACGTATGCGTAATTAGCAAGAATAGCAAAACTCGTAATTTTCAGTTTTCGTTAATAAAAAAATTGAAAATTGAACGTTTTAGTAAGATTTTTATGGAAACAATGTTATGAATCGTTAGCATACTAATATGGATCTACAGTTTTACGAGACAATACCCTCGCAAAAGGAATCATGCCCTTAGAATAAAAGCTGTATTTATGAGAATGGGTTATTTTCTGGAATAATCCTCAATATTAACTATTTATTAGAAGTAAATTTTTTTAACCTAAATAAGTTTTGGAGTACTGAAAATTATTAAAGTTATTAAAAACGGTTATTGAAAAAATGAGCCATCATTATTATTGTTACTGGCATTTTTGGGAAAGTATTATTTATATTAAATTAAAGTAGATGACATTGCTGGATATTTGAAAAATAACCCATGCTTACGGGTACAGTACTTTTCACTGTACGGTATTTCTTGAAACTATGTTACTTACTGATATTTCAAGTGAATGTATCGTTGTAATAGAAATAATATTTATTTCATCATGACGGATGGTTATAATCATATTTTGATTGGATAGAAAAATTCCGCGTGAGTTTTACTAACGATTCTATAGGTTCATTTCTATAAAAACCATGTTAAAACGCTACGCAGATTCAATTTTTATTTATGTGGGAGTGTTCACTTTTTGAAATTATTTTATCAACGAAATCTTAATTTCGCGGAATTATTAATGAGTTACTTTCCTTGCCAATCACGCGCAGTTTTTCTATAATTTTTCTTGGTTCATTTACATAGGTTTCTCGCTGAATTCTTTCATCTTCTTGAGTCACGTTATTTACTGATGTCTGAGTGAGTCTACGTGTATAAATTTGTTTGCTATTATTATCTTGGAAGAAATTATAAAAAAATAGTTATGTTTGTAACACGTGAACAGTTAACAAAATCAATATATAAAAATTTGTAATCGAGTAAATAGAATTTAAATAAATCATGAACTCGGAATATTACATTATTTTACTTTACGAGAGAGAGAGAGAGAGAGAGAGAGAGAGAGAGAGAGAGAGATGGCGGAGGGTCTCTGTCTAAGATGTCGATAAGCCAATACGCATGCATGATTTCGGAATATTACAGTGTCCTCGCATATGGTAATAAGCCACTCATGTCTGCTGAGACGTCATGAAACTCAACCACCAAATTCCAAGTAATTGGCTTTTCGCAAAACTAATTAGCTTATTCGACTCCATGTTTTTAGTTAATTTCTTGAAAAGTCAATATATAATTGAAATTTAAGGGCTGAGTTCTACGAGTTTCATCTAGACTGAATACTACTGTTTTTACTCTTCTCTAACACTGTCGAACACTATACTGCGTGTGCTAGCGTAAGATTAATTTTCGAGAATCCGCAAGAAAAATCCCTTATGGTTTTCAAAGTTGCTTTAATGAATATACTGAAAAATTTACATTGAGTCTTCTATTAACATTTTATTTTTTGTTGAAATTGTCATAAGCCTTATCATGAAAGGCACAAAACTTAAATAATGGTTTATAAATAAATTATATCAAAATCATGTTACAAATCAGACTTTAAAATGGAAAACTGAAATTAATCCAAAAAAAAAAATGTTTTGCATTTGTTTCAGACAACGTGCCTAACTGAACTGCCAGACGTAGCGCCATGTAACGGTACAGTGCGGCTACCGAGTGGCATATGCGATGACTCGCCGAGCAGCGGTAGTAGTGGAGCAGGTAATGGAATCAAGGATCGCCGTGACGATTCACCAAGGCGACGCTGTCGTGTATTGGCGCCAATAATTCTCGTTGTCGCGGCTCTCCTACTTGGCGGACTCTGCTTGCCGCTGCTCCTACAATCGGCACCGGCAACCCACCAGCAACGCCTCGATGTCATCCGGAGGATCCTCACTGAAGTGCCTCTGATCGATGGGTAAGTGACGTACGGACCTACTACGTCCTTTGACGTTACTTCGAGCGCTACTGACACACACACACACACACACACACACACACACACACATATGTTGTCTTTGACCTGCTACACGTTGATTATTTAATAATATCAAGAAGGGACGTTTTGCAATTTCGTTGTTGAATTTGCTACGGAAATTCAACTATTGTTTTATAGATGACATGATTTTTTTAGTTCTACATTTTCAATAGCTCACAAGAAAAAGTTACGAATGTGTAATCCTTTGATCTAATTTTTGACGTTATAAAAATTAATATAAAATTACTCTATTATCGCATATCCACTAATTGATTCCAATCCTGAAATATTGCTATAGATAAATTATTCGATACTTATTACGTACATCCATGTGAGAATCCCTAATATTTTAACAATATAAAATTACAGCAATCATGCAAATATTCCCAGGTGAATTTATATTAATAAAGTATCATTTATTTTTCTGCCTATTGCACGTATAGTGCGTTTTAAAACCCGGATGTCAGGTTTTATAACACGCATGTTACGTGCTGTAGACAAAAAAATAATGTATTAACCACGAAAATGAAAATAACAAGCGCATAACACGTATTTAATACCCTCATCTCGGGTGTCAATTTACACGTGCTATGGACTTGCCAATAATTTCACTCTCATGGTTAATAATATATTAATTCGTGATTTATTTGTCGAGCGAAACTCGAATCTATAACAAAGTTACAAAGTACAATAGGAAATAAAATTATAGAACGATGTTCTTGTTATTATTGTTAACAGGCACAACGATTTGCCCTGGAACGTCAGGAAATTCGTACACAATCAGCTCGGAGAGGTGAACCTGAGCAGCAACCTAGATAAAATTGATCCGTGGGCTAAATCTGACTGGAGTCACACGGATATACCAAGGTTACGAACGGGTCTTGTTGGAGCACAGGTCAGTCAATAATTCAGCATTATAATTAATTTAACAACCGTTAGTCGTACAATGACGGTTTCTTAATGCCTTTCGCTAATGATCCAGCGGCCATCCGTGATATATTTTTTCATAAGATAGAGTCTAAAGAAGAAAACAATATCAAGATAGGAAAAAAATTAAGTATGTAGGTATAAGTAAGAAGAAAAACAAAACATAGATGTCCTTTCCTGAAAATTTATTCAACATTTGTTAGGTTGAAAGTCATCGTAAGCTTCAACAATAAATTTCATATCTTTTTCATTGAGAAACGTTAAAATGACATCTACAATTAGCTGTGTCGATCTGAAATGCGGGCAAGCAACGGTAAGAGCAATCGCAGAATTTTCTCTCAATTCGTTTCTCTTGTACGCAGTATCGATGTATCGTTTAAGAATCGCACTATACAATGGAAACATCTCGGTAAGATCATTATTGACAGTATCAACTATATTGGCAACTCTCCGGTTATCAATGTAGTTGGTACGTCGTTGCCAGGACTTGACGAGAAACTCGTAAAAGCTGACATTGCAGTAAAACTTGGTCAGCTTCATGTTGATAACCTCAGCTAGTATCCGCTGATAGAAAATACTGAAATCGCTTCGAAAGTTACCACGATTTATTCTCTCGCGAAAATTTTGCTCGTCCTCTCGCAGTCCTATGAACTTAAGTACATCCTTGAGGCCATACATCCTATCGAATCCGCCATTATAATCGAGACGTAATTCCGCGGCAACAAATACGTTAAATACGGAGGCACCACGATCAATGAATAATCCGATTATTCGCGATTGCTCGTCTATCGTAAGACCGTTTCGATTTTTGACTGCTATTCCGTACAGTGGTGTGCATAAGTTTCGATCGGGTGCGTTGATCAATGCACCATGGTCTAACAAAAGTTTCGCGATTTCATAAGATATCACTAAATGTAATGGACTCTCTCCGTTGTATAAGGTTGTCACGGTTGAGTCAGCTCCACGATCTAAGAGGCGACGAACTGCAGAAACGTCATTATTGGCAGTGGCTATGTGTAACGCAGTGAGACCTCTAGCGTTGCGTACTTGAACGTCGATTCGGTCGTAAATCAGGTCGATGACGCGTCGGGGTAAATTACTAAACAATACATCAACATTGAAGATCACGGCGTTATTCTTGAGAAGGAGTTCTAACGCTTCGATAAATTTGTTATTGTAAGCAAGATTATAAGGCCGGAAGTGAAAGTCGTTCATAGCGTTAATGTCTGCGCCATGTTCGATAATCAGACGTACAATCTCAATGTCACGACTAGCCACTGCGTGGTGGAGAAGGGTATTGCCATTGTAGTCGGCGTGGTTTACATTTGCGCCTTTGAGCAACAAATTCCTCACTTTCCGTCGATCTCCCTTGTAGATCTCTTTAACCAGCTCTCGACAGCTCTTGCGAGAACGTTCCTTCGTTTGGCTCATTATTCTGTAACATAAGATTTTAAGTTGGAAATTCAAAATTATTTATCATTTTTTTATACTTATGAGTTAATAATATAATAATCTCAAAGGTACAGACCAATAAGATGATACAAGATAATATTTCATTTGTTAAAGAAAATAGTATTTTCTGTTTCGTGTTTAATAGATAGCTATTATGTTAAATAAGGAAAATTAAAAAATTGGTATAATTTAGTATCTACGAAATGAACTAGATCGCAGCTGATGCAACATCAAACAATTAATATAAAGTTTGTGTATGTAAATTACTTCTAGTTTGATATATTTGGTTATATTTAAGTAACTGATTTATGTATCATTCAACAGTTAAGGATATTCAATCGAATTTTATGTTTTAAATTATTTAAAAAAATAACTATTAAATCTGAAATAATAGCCAACCCCTTGGGTTCATTATTAATAACGAATTAATGTTAAATATTAAATTTATTATTAAATCAATAAACTAAATTCTATAAAAAATTCTAATATTAAATGACCGATAATAGCGCACAATTACGTTACCTAGTTGTAGCTTTTGTAAGTAGGTGGGTGAGCAAGCGTTTTCCAAAAAGTGGTAGATATACACCAAAATTAATCAGTTGTCAACAAACGGCACTTGATTCCGGTTAATGATTAACGATAATTATGTAAAACAAATCTATCTTCAAACAATCGATACACTGTCAATTTGAACTGCGAGTACAATTAGGTTGTCTTCGCACCTAGTACCGTCCAAAAAGTGACTGCCAATACAGAGTAGCAATCTAGTGAAAACTTTCTGTGGGTGTGCACTATGATGCCAGAACCGTACTTACGTACCCCACTATGCTTCTTGGGAACTCCGACCCCTGCCGCTACTATTGTCACTACTTGTTCTCTCACTCTCCTCTCATCAGTCACCAATAGAAATGCATAATTTTAAGTAGAGAAAGTTAGCAAGGAGGAAACGACAAAATAATGGGCGGATTTTTAAAATACGCTTACCTATGTTGTATTTATGGCAGGGTACGATGATAGTTTAAAGCATTGAACAAAAGTATTTGTTATTAACTCAAAAAAAAAGTTATAAAATGATGTAAACAATTAAATCTAAATATATCTAACAACTCCTCTGAGCATAGAGCTAATATAAAAAAAGAATACAAAGCTGCTAATGAGCTAAGCTAGAGAAATTTAATTGATAAAATACCATAAAGCATAAATTAAAAAAATCCAAACAAAAATAATGAAGCAATAGAAATTGTACACGCATAAGAAGAGCCAAGAGCGGTAACTCTCATGTGGGTTATCATAAAGTGATGTCTAGTTGCAGCAGTGTATGCGCGGTGAGAGTTATCTGGCGCCACGCTTGCAAGGTCGATATATACCTGTGTGGGTTCGTTCAAACGATTTTCCAGTGTACGCCGCGCGCCACCTATCACTGGGAACATCGCTTTTATTCCCATCGGTGCCCGCCAGCGCAAAAACACACATACACACACACTGATTGTCTTTCGTTTTATCGCGCGACGTATTTTCACCGCGCGGGTGTACAGCACACTGGAGGATATGATGATTATGTTAGCCAACGACAAAAAAAGCAAAGCTAAGTGATATTTATCCGAGTATTATTACCTTTACGAATTCGCTTTGATTGAGCAAACGTACGAAATTTGAAATTGTTAACAATCATTTATCACAAGTGCGCTGTAGAACTTTGTGAAATTACAACCGCTAATACCTTTCAATCCGTATTCCTTCAAGCTAACAACCTTCAAACCTTGCGAACACGAGATCAAATTTGAAATCTTACTGAAGCGACTGAAAACAATATTCGAGGCGATTGGTCCAATGACGAGCAGTGCACTAATCAAACAACTAACGGATATTAATGGTCCTGAGGGTGCGTTTCATTACTGACATGAGGCAATTCGGGTGGCAAGCTACTAACAGACGTAGACGCAGCGAGCATGTAGCACATTTACTCGGCGGCCTCGGAGGGGTCGATTTACATCAATAGGCGCGTTTGTGCATACGAGGTCTGTGTAATTAGCGTACGCTCTTGAGATCCTCTTCGTTTATCCGACGTAGAGATGCTGCACAACCCAACCCCCGCAGGGAAACGCTTCAACCTGTAGACAAGGAAAACCCGCCGCGCGCAGTTAAGGCGACTGACCGTTTCGGATACAACTGCTAAGGCTTGTTGACGCGCGGCTGAGAAGTTTCGTGATACTTTCAATGACCGAACGACTTTGTTTTCAAGTGTGTTTCGACGAGAGTTTCCTGACTTCTAATGGCTCAACTTCTTTTCCTTTTATTTTCAGATTGTTTGAAGCACCCAAGAAAAGTTTAGTACAGTTATTACATTTAATATGACTTATCAATTGATATTTTCAGGGTAGCCATTGCATAAGCGACTTTAGATGGATTAAAATTCATAGGCCACAGCTTTGACTCGAAGATATAACCCGACCGATTTCGAATTAGAGAGTCACTCGATTATTGGCTCGCTAACGTCACGCGCCATCTGCGTATTCGCCACTAGTGCGCAGTCATAAGGTCATGTACATTGGAGTTATGTATTAATTTACGAGGTCGCGTACGCAAGCCCCTCCATTCGTTAATGGGCTTGTAAATTCGGATGCTGCTCTCGCTCAATGTTTGCCATCCTGCCGATTACCATGGGAATCGCTGACGAGTTATTGCAGTTTGTTTTTGTGAAATTCAAGAGAACTACTTGTGATGAGGTAGTGCACATGTAAGGAAGAAGTTTGTAATACTTGATTTGATCATTCTAATCGCTTACTCCGCCATTTATCTCCGCATACCAAGTTTTATGGTAAAAATGTGTAATTTTCGTAGACACTGTAAGTTTCATACTTGACTTCATCGATGAAAAAAAACAGCTAATTTGAAGTTTAACTTAAACTTCCATGAAAATTTTTTCGAAGTAAGAGAGTACGGAAATAGTAAGAGTAAAGAAATTTTACGTCTGTGCTGAAATTTACTATTGAAATAACGCTTAAGAAGTACTTTCTTTCTACTTTCAAGGTCTAAATTGTCAACAAGCAAACTAGCTACATTTTAAAAAACTTGTGTGTTTATCGCAGCTTGTTTACCAACAAAAGCAAAGAAGCAACGCATGTTTGTTCATCAAAAAGCAATCTAGACAAGAGCGTATGTAGGCAACTCTTCGCGCATACGTGTATGCGTAGTCGTATCATTATGCATATAATCCTCAAGAAAGTTAGTCCTCCCCCTCTACCTCCCCTATCCTACCCTTCGCGACTATAGTCGCGTCGGTTCTTGGTCCTGAAACTTGGTTGGCATTTGCATGAAGACCTTTTTCACGCGCTCGCATTGAAAGCGTTGTGCGTGATTTGCATCGAATTGATAGATGAAAATTGCCAAGTTTGATGGCGTTCAAAAGTTTTTCCGAGTTCTTCTAACGGTGCCTGGACGCACATTGAATTGTTACTTTTAAGAAATAACTCTAATTCTTTCCTTGGTTAGCCTACAATTACCATTCGAATACTC